TGCTTTTATCCAATTCCCCCCCCCCAACGCTGCACCCCCGGTGTTTGCCATCGGGGTTGGGTTTTCGTCGCTTGGCAACGACGTTGTAAAACAAGCCAATTCCCTTCGTGAACTCGGCAACCAGGTTCGCTTTTTTTTTTTTTACCTCCGTTTTTTTTTTTGGCGGTAACCATAATGGTGGTCGAGTAGATCATGTTGTGCGGGGTGGAGAACCCTCGCTCCGCGCAAGGGGGATGATCGCACCACGTTGTGTTAAAATGGTCAAGCACCCTCGAGGCAGTTACACAGTGCTTACAACTGTCTCTGGAAGTGAAAGCACCAGAAAGTAAATTAAGTCATACGTTTGGCGCTGTCAGAACGGTGCCCAAAACTTCTTGCACCTACAACCCCAGGAAATGGTAGGAGGCTTTTCTGAGTGGCGACTGTTTTGGGAACGTTTGTCGGCATGCATATGTTAGCCTGTGACCACGGAAATTGGCCGAGTCAAGTGATGGATTAGTACGGAGAGATTGAGACAGAAGGAGGTACTGGATAGAGAGACCGGGATGGATTTTAATGTGAAGACAACAACAACAACAACATGTCAATGAAGTCCGCTTTCTTCGCACACCTCACACAACCCTTTGCATCCATTTTTTTTCGCGTGAGCGACGACTTAGAGCAGCGCAGCACTCCGGTACAGCAGTGTGCCTGGCGGAGGGTCTAGATATCTACATAGATGATGAGTCGACCGAACTTACGGCAGGTGCAGAGGCGGCACACCACCTGTAGAAGACTAAAAAGCAACGCGGTGATTTGTACTCGGCGGAACCCGGCGGAACCGGCATACCAGCTCCCAAGCGGTGAGCGGACGCAAACGCTTATTGCTATCGGCTACTGCTGTACAATCAGTAGAGAACCTTTTGTTCAGCACAGCAGCATCGGCGAACATACTTGCACGAAAAAGCAACTACCGTACATATAGTAAAGTTGTGCTCCAAGGAAGGGCACTCTTCGTCATGCACCACACAGGCATTCAACAAGGGCATCAACAAGTCGCGAACGAAGTAAACCTGTACAACCCAACGGATTATCCATTGACGACGGGGATTGGTCTATACTGCGTGTTCCCTGGTGATTGCACAGAAGATGCTAGTCGCTCTACACCTGTGGCCAAATGGCTACCCTGGCAGGGTGGCCAAAAAACACCCTGCCAAGGTACCCTACCCTGTGGACGGCAGAAGGGTGAACCAGCTGCAGCGTCTACAATGGACACCCTGCCAGGGTCCACCCTGCCAGGGTGGCCC